TTGATAAATAAAGCAGCGACGCTACGGTCAAGCTACTGGAACATGTAGATAAACCAATAGCTTCGCTACCTGTAGCGGCGCTACTGCCCATCACTGCATAAGCTATTATAACTCTCTTGGTGTCTCTCTCATAAAACTGTGTTGGACCTTATTGTTTTTAAAGGAAATATGGTAGTGAGCCCCAGACTGGTGCAGACTGACTGAGAAGATTGCGCCCTCTGCTGTACAGCTATGTACGCTATGCACAAGTTGCATATAATTTTCGCTCTATCCCAGCATGAAATTGTAGCAAAAGGTTAAGCAAAGCTGAAGCTTACAACGGAATTTGCAACTTAGAGCAGCCAATTGTGCAGTTGTGTTAACTAACTTTTAGTTGTGATAAGGAAAAAAAATATAATAAAAAATGTGGGAAAGATTTTCTTAAATTTTGTTTTGCACCATTTGTTTGAGATCAAGTGGAGAAGAACTGAGAAATCATAAGATTATTGTTGTGAGTTACAAAGCTGATTAAACATTAAAGTAATCACAATTTGGGCATGCCACTGGTTTTGGTTTTGATATGAGTACTCCTAAAAGGACAGTTTCTATTACAAACTGCATCTGCTGTGTGGGATTGCCCTTCAATCAAAGGGTTGTTGGTTCAGGACCTGGTTTAGACTTTTGAAAGTTGCTATGCTACTTAACAAGTATTTTGGCCAATGTGACCAATTTGTATTGTTTAGCCTTAGTAGATTGGGTAAAAACACTACCAAATTAGATTGGTTGGCTTAACCAAAAGATTGGTTGGACACATAACTTCTAACCAGAATAAAACCAAAAACTGTGGAGAAACTATCATTAAAACTATTATTTCAACACCCCTTCCTTTTGCTCATCATTGCCCAGTTAGCACAAGCCCTTCCATTGTCTGCTTGAGCTTATTTCACTAAAATGACAGAAAAACATTTTTCTCTTCTAAGACATTTTACACCAAAAAAAACTTACAAAAGAATTTATTATACACACCAATCATGAACAATTTCAACAGAACTTAAATGGGGAAAAAACAAAACAAACAAACAAAAAACAATTACAAAAAAATCACTAAATGTAGTTCTGCATTCCACCAGTAGGTGATGACATGTTTACATGAAACTTCATGAAGTGTGGGGATCGAAGCAATTTGGCCAAACGGTTCAATGCCTCATAAGGCTTCATGTCACCATCACTAGAGACTGGCACAAGAGAGCAACAGAGAGCAACCCAGAGAATTCAAAACTACTTAAATATAATACAAAATGGAAAAGAAACCAATGACCAACAAAACAGAATGACATAAATACCTAAAAACTCAAAATCAAATTTAAACAGGAGTCCACATAGGCCATAACTGTAACAGAAAGTGTAAAAGGTTTTTAATGTGCCTCAAAAAACACAGTGTGTGTACATGTCCCCAACATTTGAAGAGGTGTAACATTTGTCTAATTTAAAACAAAAATCTTCAATTACAAAGCTCTATTTTAATTCTGTGTTATCTTCAATTTACATGTATAATGCATGAATACTTCAAAATTACCTCCATAAAGAACACTGTGTTTACTTACAAAAAGAGAAAAAACAATTATAACCAAGATAGATAGATAGATAGATAGATAGATAGATTAAATCAATTTTAAATTAGAAAAATCTCCTTTGAATGTTTTACCAGAAATGATCATTTTAAAAGCATGTCTGAACCACCTGTAGAAGAAAGCATAAACCAATGGATTCAGCACAGAATTCGACCATCCAAGCCATTTAAAAGCTTCCATCGCCATGGCTGGTATTGCATATTTTCTGGTGCTGTACAAACCAATGAAAAAAAAGTATGGAGTCCAACACATAAGGAAGACTCCCAGGACTACAGCCAGAGTTATGTTGGCCTTTTTCTCCATCTTGCTAAGAGCTGTCTCAGACCTTAAAGTGTTGTGTATGCTTCTCGCCTGTCTCTTTGCCACCATCAAAATCTTAAGATAAATGGTTGATATTATAATAGATGGAATATAAAATGACAAAACTGACACGAGGCTTGATTCCTTTGTAGCTATAAATATCCTACACCCCTTACTAGGATTTTCCTCACTTTTCCCACGAACTGTGATGATGATTGAGAATAAAGCTGAGAGAGTCCAGCTCACAAGGATCATAGTTAGAGTAAAACGAACATTAATTCGACTTCTATAAGTAAGAGGATGACACACTGCATAATATCTATCGAGGGATATACAACACAAGTTTAAAATGGATGATGCACAAAGTAACATATCAAACACACCACGCATTTTGCAGAGTAAATAACTTGAGTACCAGCATGAGCTTAAAGACAATATTGTGCTGAAAGGCAAAACTAAAGCTCCAACAAGCAGGTCAGTCACAGCCAGAGAGAGGATGAGGTAGTTTGTTGGAGTGTGCAGCTGTTTGAAGTAAATGACAGAGATGATTACAAGAAGATTCCCACATATTATCAGAAGTGACAAAATAAGGACTAAAACATTTGATGCATAATAGGTCACGTTTAGCCCATGCAGCTGTGCTGATCTATTACAAAGATTTCGGTCTTCAACCATATCATTAATCCTATTGAAAAACAAAATGAAAAAATAATTAAAAGAAACTATCCTGTTTTCAGAGAATTGTGGACAAGGACTTTAGTTTCTGTGAGTCTTCTTCAGTGTAGCACAAGACAGTAGAGTGACTCTTTACTCTGTTAATGACTGAACAGCACGTCATTGTTATATGTATCATTCTGATACTATTCATTCATTGGCTCAATTGTTTTGTGTTAGTAGTATCCAAGACGAGTTATTCCCCAGTGTCTCATCAAGCGCCACCTCACATTTCAGTTCTTCTGATTCTTCATCCTGTTTTTACATTTTAGATTTTTAAAAGGAAAAATTATGACTAAATGTCACCATATAGTAAATTTTTTACTGTAGAACAGTTTTTTTGCAGAATGGGGTAAACTTGAATACCAATGTTCATTAAAATTACTAGTCTAATTTACCTCTCCTACAATGTTTAGTATTTAACAGCACCCTAAAATTTGTAGAGAGAACAAAAGAATTTTAAGTGTATTGATTGAAAAGTAGAATTCCTCTGTGAAAAAAATAGAGTTAAGAAGGGACTTCAAAAGGGACTTATAAAAATATATGAATATTAAATTTACCCATGAAATTAGG